TGACTGTACATACTTCGCACGTAGTTAGGTTAGCCTAGAGCAATGTGGTTTTTTATGCACAGAAGTTCATGATGAAATTGTAGCAACAGTCATTTAACTTTAACTAAATTAGAGCAATAGTCTGTTAACTAAAAATTCATGACCATTGGTCCCTTAATACATCAAAACGTGCAACTATTGTCCTTTTCGTCAACTTTGTTAAAACTTCTGTCAAAATAAGTCACGTGCCACACACGTAAGGCTGAATCAAGAGGCAAATATAGAAAACAAAATGCAAAAAAAATGTAGCAATGGCCGCTCAACTTTAACCCAATTAGATAAATGGTCCCTCAACTTTAACTCAATTGGAGAAATAATCTTTTAACTTTAATCTAACTGTAGCAATGGTCATTCCAACATGAGTCATTTTGACAGAATTCTGATGGAGTTGATAAAAATGACCATATTGCACATTCTGGTCAGTTAAGGGACTAATGAGCATCGATTTTTAGTTAATGGATCATTGCTACAATTTTCTCTAAGTTCAAATACCTCTCCAATCATAAAAAGATAAAAAATACCCGTATGACTATTGTTTGTACCATACTTGATCAATCCCGAAACTATTGAGCACCGGTCAACGTTATACTGTCAAGGATCCATAAGAGTTTCCTTCCAACCAAGAGGCCAATCATAGCGCGACATGTGTCAACATCAGAAGCCAATCATAGCGCGACACGTGTCAACATAAAAAGCCAATCACAACACGACACATGTCAATGTCAAAACAAAGCTAGAAACTCTCTTCTATAAAAGGAAATCATTATCCCACAATATTTCCTAATGTCATTTGTACTAAATCATTCACTTGTACTCACTAAGGGGTGGTTTGGGAGTGAGGTGCTTAAAAAAAAAACACCAATGAAAAAAAGCTGTGAAGGTTTTAGGTGTTTGGTAAACTGAAAAAAATGGCTTATTTTGGAAGCTGCTGTGAGAATAAGCTGAAATCAAAGGAAAAAGCTGAAGCTGTTATTTGTAGCTTTAGAAAACTGGTTTTTCAAAGCACACGGAGCTACAGTGCTCCTTTAATGAAAAGACCCACTATCAGACTGCTTTTTTTTCCAAAAGCACTTTTACAAAAAAGTTTACCAAACACTCTGCTGATTTTAGGGCTGGTTCGGGTCGGGATCCCGAACCGAAACCCTCAATCCGAATTCCAAACCGAAACATTTCGGGATGGGATTTTATATCCCAACATCGAACCGAAAATATGCAATTCCCGAAATTCGGGATACCCGAAACTGTTTCGGGATTTCGGGTCGGGATACCACAGAGTTCTCAATCTCTTGTGCAAACCAAAACCATGGAAAAACCTGCAGGTGGAGACTTAGGCGGCGGTGTTAAAGTTCAAGAGAGTTCTCTCTCTCCTCAGCCATGGAAGAGGAAGAGTGAGAAAGTTGAATAAAAACCTAAATTATATACATATACATACACTTACAGCACGCATGCAATAATCAAATATGAAACAAAAGGAATCCTTGCTGCTCATGATGCAGCTGCCATGCCCATGATTAAATTACACTTTGTGGGAGTGGATTGTGGAGTGCTACTCATACTGAATGCGTTGCAGAATCAAAAGAGGGAGGAGAAAATCATGGGGATCCCACTCCCACATGCAGAGCATCTTCACCGTCCACACCCCCTTTACTCCCACTAAAGTCACTTGCACACCACCAACCCTTTCTCTTCTTTTCACCCTCTGTACGAACATGAAGTCATAAATAAAAAAGGCTCAACGAAGCTTGGCATGACTTGAATCGATGGAGGAGCGGCGAAAGCAGCGTTTGGGAGAGTGGGAGTGAGCGGCTGAGTCTGAGGAAGTGAGGAATACAACAAAAGACCTAACTCCCAATGGACGGTTGGATTAGATCTTAACCAATCCAACGGTCCAAGTGATTTCTAATTACAAATTAAAAAAAAAAATATATATATATATATATATATATATATATAATATTCGGTTCGGTTCGGGATTACCGAACACTTTCAAAGATGTGGCCGAATCCCAAACCGAAACTTTCGGGATCGGTTCGGTTTCGGGTACCGAATTTTTCGGGAAATTCGGTTCGGGCATTTTTCGGGTAAATTTCGGGACGGGTTCGGGACGGTTCGGGATTTTCGGGAAAAAATTCCACCCCTAGCTGATTTATTTCACAGCCGCTTATTCTCACAGCAGTTTTTTTCAAAGCACAGCAATACCAAACCAACCCTAAATGAGAGTTTGAACCTATGTACTTGTGTAAACCCTTTACAATTAATGAGAACTCTTCTACTATGTGGGCCAATCTGGGTGAACCACGTACATCTTGTGTTTGCTTCCATGTCTCTATCCATTTACACACTTATTCACACTAGTGACAGGAACAATCTAGCGAATGTCACAAACTTAACACTTTATGTTGTACCAAAATCCTCACTGATTTTGTGCATCAACAACTATGTTAGATTAGTTAATTCAAATATCGCTTAGATCGGATACCAAACAGTAAGCAAAAACCAACACATATAAATGGATGGTGCTATTAACACATGTGTTTTTTCTTTTCACAAATTCTTGTTAATTGTTTAATGTTAATTTTCTTAATTCATTTGATTCAACAAATTAGAGTGTTGTATTTAATTGGGATTTTGAAAGATTTTAATTATTTTAATGAATTATGAGTATTCAATCAGAATTTTAAGTGATTATCTGAAATTCAATGTGTATTCAATCAGGATTTTAAGATGGTTTATTAAAATCCTTAGAAATCCGGATGTATTCGATTAGAATTTTAAAGAAGTTTATAACATTTCAGGTGTATTCAATTAGAATTAGAATTTAAAGAAGGGTAAATCGCCAAAATGGTCATTCAGATTTGCATAACTTATTATTTTGGTCATTGAGATTCCAAATCCATAAAAGTGGTCACTGAGATTGTCCACCATCCATCATTTTGGTCATTCCGTTAAAAACACTATTAAGTGTCCCGAAGCTTTTAGTCGGAAGTTTGGGCAATCTTCAAAGCTTCGTAACTCAATCGTTTCTTAACCAAATTCGACCCATAATTTATCAAAATGAAGATAGGAAAGTGTAGAATAAAATTATACCTATTTTAAAGCCCAATGGTTGTCGGAGATTGCTGGAAAATAGCCTCAAAGTTGACTGGTCCAAGTGAAAACTTGAAAACTCACCGGAAAACTGGGTAAACTTTAAACGTTCATAACTTCTTCAATACTCAATGAAATCAAGTGATTCAAAAACAAAAATCATATTTCTTGACAAGACGAAGAGAATGGTACCGTTTCGATAGTCGGAAAACGGCTCGAAAGTGGCTGTTTTAGTCTCGAGTTAGCCATTTTCGAGCCATTTTCCGGCCAAACCACTACGAGTTATTCGTCGAAAAATGTACCATTCTTTTCATCTCGTTGAGAAGTATGATTTTTTTTTGAATCACTTGATTTCGTTGAGTATTGATGAAGTTATGAACGTTTAAAGTTTACCTAGTTTCTGAAGAGTTTTTAAGTTTTCACTCAAACCAGTCAACTTTGAGGCTATTTTCCGGCAATCTCCAACAACCATTTGGCTTCAAAATAGATATAATCTTATTCTATACCTTCCTATCTTCATTTTGATATATTATAGGTCGAATTTAGTTAAGAAACAATTGAGTTACAAAGCTTTGAAAATTGGCCAAACTTCTGGCTAAGAGCTCTAGAACACTTAATGAAATTTTTAACAGAATTACCAAAATGATGGATGGTGGACAATATCAGGGACCACTTTTATCGATTTGGAATCTCAGGGACCAAAGTGATGAGTTATACAAATCTCAGGGACAATTTTGACAATTTACCCTTTAAAGAATTTGGAAAAGTTGAGAGGAATTATAGGGAATTAAAGAGATTTTGTTAGGGGTAGGCATTGTTTGGTTCAGTGCGATTTTGAGTGAAATTAAAACCGAAATTGAAATTTTTTGCGGTTCGGTTCAGTGCGATTTTGAAGCCAAAATTGAAATGAAATTAAACTGTTTGATTTGGTTCGGTGTAGTTTCAAATGGTTTTGGTTTGGTTTTTAAGAAAAAATGTACAATTTGCAATTTGACATATTAATAAGCATTTCCCAGTAGCAATAGGAAAAAGACATTTGTTATGTAAACAATTAGCATGTTGCATGCAGTTGTGATGTTAAAATATGTTTGTGCAACAAAAGGGTGTCCCATACAAGGTATAACATAAAATAAGTTGAATAACTTTGAATTCATTAAATATGAGCGAAACTTTCAAACTAAAATATGTGATATCATGCTTCAAATGAGTGGACTTCAATAGATTATTGTTCGACTCTTGATAACAAGATTAGTCCACCCTTGTACATATATATATATGTGTGTGTGTGTGTTTGATGGTATAAAATAACAAATGTTCTTTGAGTTAATGAATGAAAGAAAGTGATGAATGATGATATTCTAGTGTGGTTGAGTCCATACTAAATGTATGGATTCTAACAAACAACCAATTAAAACATAAAATCTAATATGGACATTTAATTAAATGTTTATTAATATTTGCGGTTTTGTTTGGTTTCAATGGGGTTTACAAAAGCCGAAACCGAAATCAAACAGTTTTCTATGTTACGGTTCAGTTTCAAAACCGCAAAACCAAACCGTTTGGTGCGGTTCGATTTGGTTCGTGTTTCGGTTTCGGTTTTCGGTTCTAAGTGCCCACCCCTAGATTTTGTAGTGTATTTTAAGTATCCACAAATCTCACATTTCCCCATGAGATTTTGAGAGAATTGAATCAAAAGTTTACATAGAATATCTACAAATCAGTTAAACTTAATAAAAATTCATAAATTTATCTGTTAAAATATCTTAAATTCCCAATTAAATACATCTCTATAAATATTAATATTTTTTAATTCATTTGATTCATCGATTAAAAGTTGAAGTGAGTAGTAAAAATTGAGTGTATAGCAGCGCACCAGCCATATAAATCCCCACACAGGAACACATTAATATCTGTACACGGAGTAGTAGTGTTCACATTTTATCACTCACCGTCCTTCCTCGCTCGCGTCGCATAAAAACCCTAGCTGGTCGCTACAGAATCTCACAGAAACCCTCGCCATCCATGGGTACACAACTCTAAACCCTAATCTCCTAATCTAATCATCTGTTTATAGAAATCTCGGTTCTTGATTTCTCGAATTTTCAATCTTCTATCTTTTTAATGTCTAATTTGTGGAGATTGATTTTGTTCGGCGATTAAGCTCCGGTAGATCCCGGCGATTTATTAGTTCTGATCTGAATCTTTTTTGCTTGTATTCCAGTTCGTCAGGAGTTTGCGAATTTTGGAAATTTAGTTTAATTTTATTCGAATTTATCTGTTTTTGTAGTATTTAATTATGGTTAGGATTGGTTTAGCTTCGGTAGTTGGATGCTGAAATAAAATAAATAAATTACACCTAATAAATTTGTTAATGCAGTCGTTTTTTTTTATCTGTTTGGATTTTCCTTGTTTCTGGTAATTTGAGTGAAGGAGTTCGGGATAAAGTTTAGTGCATGGCGCTTATTTGCTATGCCTATGAATTATTCGAAATTAATGGGGCTGATTTTTGAGATTTGATTCAAACTTCTGTAAATCGTAGATATCGAGGAGGAAATCCGATCGTTACAGCTTGATTCGGAAGGTAACTCTAAACGGAATTTGAATTTATTTGTTTTGGTTAAGATAAATGATAATGATGGCTGTGCGATGGTAAGTTTTTAATTGCTGAGCCGATGGTTTGGTTAAAATGTAGCAGAAGATAATGGGGCTGTTAAGCCAGACGAAGCAATGCCGGAAGTAGAGAACGAGAGTAAGATGGAGGAAGGTCGGTAGTATCGTCGATTTCAATATTATGTTATTGTTTTGTTGAGTAGAGTTATGGGTTGAGAGGGCATATTTTGATTGTGATTTATTAACATGTGATACGCTTATCATTAAATGCTCCCAGTAACTGGTTATAATGACTATTGAGTAATACTACGGAACCTAGAGTACCTTTAAAAATGAAAATTGGCGGCTACAAAATCACTTTCAGTTTCTGGTTATATATACTTCAAGACATGGTAGCATGATTGACAGTGCTTGTTTAATTTTCCTATTGCTTTTGATTACCCACATCACATCTTGTTAGTGCTACTTATTTGACGCAATTAACTTGATATGCAGAAATTTTATTCCTTTCTGTAATTTTCTACTTTGACTCTCCATCTTGTGCGGGATCTTTTTGATGGGAAGTAGGGCATGTGATTTCTAGATGCTTTTGCCTAGTACTTTGGCTTGATGGGAGATTGATGTAGAAGATTAACTCTGTTTTTTCCCTCCAAATATTGGAACAATTTCAGATCCCAGGGAAGAGATTCATACGCAGTCTGATCAGTCAGTTGTAGTTGAGCATAAAGGTACTATCGAAGCTCAGTCCATATTTGTTTTTGTCTGTTATTTTGTGTCTTTTTTTTCTTAAATAATAACTCGTACTGCATCACTCGTAATTTTCCATACCAAATTCTATTCTAATATACTTCTGGGAGATTAATGTTTGGATTGGATATGCAGGGAAAGCGAAGGAAATCCCAGAGCCTGAAGAAGAACATGATGACATTGAATTAGATAGGAAGAGGCACTTGAATGTTGTTTTTATTGGCCATGTTGGTAAGTTAATTTTTATCACAAGGTTGCTTTATCTAACAAATCTCGTTTTCGATTATTGTCCTGCCTTCTGAAATTAGAACCATACACTTGCCCATTGCTATTAAAGTTCCATTTTGTGGTGTAAATCCTAACAGGGCTTAATAACGTGTTTTGTCTTGGTTGCAGATGCTGGAAAGTCCACAACAGGAGGCCAAATTCTTTTCCTTAGCGGTCAGGTTGATGATCGTACGATCCAAAAATATGAAAAAGAAGCAAAGGACAAAAGTAGGGAAAGCTGGTGAGCATATCCTAGTGCTATGTTATTGTGTCCTAGCCCCTTGTCCCCAAGATCCTCATCTTCCCTCAAAATATAAGTAACTTTTGACTTTATCTGAGACATGCATATAACTAGTTAACAATTCCACAATGTTAGTACAGATCTTTAGTGGTATCTCATAATGTTCTTTTACATTCATTCTCTTGGTTTTCTTAACGTGTCATTCAGTGGCAAAATTTTGTAGTTCAAAACTGCATTAACATATCATCTGATGCAAAAATGGACCTTACATATGCTGCATGAACTTTTTGTGTTTGGATCACTCCCCATTGACTATGGTTATGTCATATCTGCTAGGTATATGGCATATATTATGGATACCAATGAGGAAGAGAGAGAGAAGGTATGGTTTGATAAGCTGCAATGTTATTGTCAATCTTTAAGTCATTGTCAAATGCTAACTAATGATGCTTACAACAGCTAGTTTTGTCAAAGGAACAGCTTATTTGGGCTCTAATTATTTGTTTTTGGATGCTTACAACAGCTAGTTTTGTCAAAGGAACAGCTTATTTGGGCTCTAATTATTTGTTTTTGGGAATCTTATTGCAGGGTAAAACAGTTGAAGTGGGGCGGGCCCACTTTGAAACCGAAACATCAAGATTTACGATTTTGGATGCACCCGTGAGTTAATTTCTTTTTCACGAATCACAACAAGACTTCATATTTTTCATTTTCTTGGACAATATGGTTTGGCTTGCTTGTTTCGGGTGATTCTGAGTAGTGCATGTTTATTAACAGGGCCACAAAAGTTATGTTCCAAATATGATCAGTGGTGCATCTCAAGCTGATGTAGGAGTACTGGTGAGTTACATTCGTGATGCTTAATTACTGCTTCAACCCAGCAAAGGTAAATTTTGTATATTTAATAGTCTCTCGCTTTTCTCCTTTCTCTTTCTGTTTAGGTAATTTCTGCTCGGAAAGGAGAATTTGAAACTGGGTATGAGAGGGGTGGGCAGACCCGTGAACACGTTCAACTTGCTAAGACATTGGGTGTGTCTAAGTTGCTTGTTGTTGTGAATAAAATGGATGATCCCACTGTGAACTGGTCAAAAGAAAGGTACTTTACCCTCTTTTAGAGCGATTTTTCGGATCCAACACCCTCCTGCTCTTGTATGTGCCCTGCCCCTATTGATTAGTGATTTCTTATGTTTTTAATTTCATAATTTCTTCAGGTATGATGAAATTGGGTCAAAGATGGTGCCATTCCTTAAAGCATCAGGCTACAATGTGAAAAAAGGTACGTCCGTACGTGATAATTATTTCTTCAGAAACTTATAGATATGTTATTTTATGGTTTTGGTATTTGGGAAGTCATATCTTTCTTTCTATTTTTCTCTTTGTTTGGGTTAATGCCATTGACTTAGTAATTATGCTGGATTTCTAATTTAAGTTGTAACTTATACTGTGGGGAATAGGCCACAATCATTTTACTATTCTCAAACTATGATGACCCTATGTTCGATAGAAGGATTGAAAAAGGGGACTAACAGGCATGTTTTCCTTTGTTTGATATTATGAGGAAAATTGGGGAAGCGTTGAGGAATAGGCAACTCCTGCGGCCTGCAAAAACTTGCTCATATTTATGAGATTGAAAACAAAAATGGAAACTTTTATTTCAATGAAAATATGTATGCTCAAGTCAGCACATTAAAGTAGGGAATAGTTGATCATGATTTTATGCTATTGTTTCTCTTATTTGTGCTTGTGATACCTTTCTGTCACAGAAGTAAATGTTATGTTAGTGGATTTCTTCTTTCATTTTGATTTTTTTCTTTTCTATCTGAACTGATGGTAATGGTAGTTTTGAGGCACTGGTTTGTATTATGTGTGTTGACATAGGATGTTATTGATTTGCACTTTGCCTCTGCAGATGTGCAATTCCTGCCTATATCTGGCCTGATTGGTTTAAATATAAAAACCAGATTGGATAAAAGTGTTTGTTCGTGGTGGGATGGTCCCTGCCTTTTCGAAGTCCTTGATTCTATTGAAGTTCCTCTACGAGATCCTAAAGGTTCATTCAGGTACGTGGTCTGTTTTTTAACCTTGCCTTCAAACGTCGTAAGTAAGCATCTGTATTTGAATCTATCTTTTTTCTTTGAAGAAGTCTGATTGATGTGCATATACTTTTTTTTACTAATTGAGGAGATATTTTCTATTATATTTGCAAAAAAAATTTCCCTTGAAAGTTTTCAACAGTTACTTCTTAATGCACTGAGGTAGGAAGCATTATATTGTCAGTTTGTAGTGTGAGGAGTGGCTTGTACTCAAATTTCTTTACAATATCTTTGTTTGGAAATGGTATTACGGTCATTGGCAATGGCACTTAATGAAAATATACGGAGGGTGGAGGATGAGGTGGGGGATCAATGGCTCCCTAGTGATTTAGTAAACTGTGACAGGAATTGGTGAATTATGGTTAATGTATTATCTCTAATTTTCTTTAATCCTCTGAATTCCTTTCTGTAGGATGCCTATCATAGACAGATTCAAGGACATGGGAACAGTTGTTATGGGCAAAGTGGAATCTGGGTCAGTGCGTGAAGGGGATTCGTTGGTTGTCATGCCAAATAAGGTTCCTTCTGGTTCCTTTTAAATATTATTTCCTCTATAATCTTACCTTTTTTCTATAAAGATTTTATACTAAAAATCCAATTCAACACATTCTTTTGCAGGTTCCAGTGAAGGCTGTTGCTCTATACATTGATGATGATAGGGTGAAACGTGCGGGCCCCGGTGAAAATCTACGGGTTAGAATATCGGGCATTGAGGATGAAGATATATTGTCAGGCTTTGTCTTGTCGAGTGTTGGTAAGTTCTATTTCACGGCATTTCACCAGACTCTTTGTCCATTCTTAGTTTTCTAGTATTTTATTCCTTAAAAGTAAAAAATTGCATTACTGCTGCATATTCGTTTTTTCCCTTTAAAGTTTGAGCACGTATCTTTATTTATTTATAGAATTGTCACTATTTATCTTACTTATTTATCAGTTGGGGGGTGGGGGATTCGAACTTGGAACATCTAGCGACATTGGAAACCAAAGCATCACTAAAGAATAGCTAGTTGGCTTTTATTTATTTTTAAGTGAAGAGATGTAAGAAAAATGGAGATGGGAAAGAGATGATATAGAGAGAAGTGAGGATAAGAGGAGGGAAGACTTGTAGAATTAAAATAAAGAAAATTGAAAACCACTTGAAACTGTTTTTGGTTAGTTTTAGTTTCATAAAATCAGTTATTGTGTTATTTTCTTTCTTTCCCTCCTTCCCTCCCTCCTCCCCTTATGTTGTCCCCATGTTTACTTCGCATATGTTGCTCTTAATATACTTTTTTTTTTGGTTAATGCAGCAAATCCAATACCTGCTGTAACAGAATTTTTCGCCCAGTTGCAGATCCTTGAACTGCTGGACAATGTTTGAATCTCTCTCTCTCTCTCTCTCTCTCTCTCTCTCTCTCTCCCCCTCTCTCTCTCTCTCCGTCTTATGATCTTGGTTGATGAACATGTGTATGTATTTATCTGAAGCCCTCCATATACTTCTTCTCTTAAGGCAATCTTGACGGCTGGCTATAAAGCTGTCCTGCATATTCACTCGGTTGTTGAAGAATGTGAGATTATTGAGCTTGTAAGTCAAATGGATCCGAAGACGAAGAAACCTATGAAAAAGCATATTCGTTTTGTCAAGAATGGTGCCGTTGTTGTGTGCAAGATTCAGGTTTGTATCATTATACTTTTTTTATTAACCCCCCTCAAAAAGAAGAGAGGTAGTAAATTTTAAACATCTTTGTCGCACCTGGTTCACTTACCTTGTGCTCATGTGCTCATGTGCTCCTGCAGGTCGGTAACATGATCTGCATCGAGAAGTTTGCAGACTTTCCACAACTTGGAAGGTTTACTCTTCGTACCGAAGGTACTATATACCTTGCCTTCGCCATTCTGTTTATACATCCAGGATGTTTTTGGCATGTTGTAGTAAATGTTATTTCTACGTTCTGCAGGAAAAACTATTGCAGTTGGAAAAGTGATTGATCAACCTTCAAATTACCGCAACAGATCAAGTGCTTAAACAATTTTGGTCTTGAGGGTAAGGCTTTTCGAATGCTATTTTCCTACATACATTCTCTCTGTTTCCTCGTCTGCTTATTGGTTAGTTGCTGACGTTTACTCGGTTCTAAATTTTATAATTGTGTTCGTATCAAACTACCTAAAAAGTGTAAGGTGCCTATATATATTAAAGGTCTTTACTATGAGTTGCGTTTGCATTTGCATCCAACGCTTACTCAATACTTCTGTATTTTGGATTTTCCGATCCCAAGATAACCCAATTCTTGTTGATTGGCAGAGCTGGGTCAGTAGGACGGACTGCGTGGCAGCTTGATGCGTTTGAAGTCAGCGCAGCATCAACTACAATGCAAAATGAATGGACTCTGATATCAGGTTAATATCGTTCGTAGATTTACGCAGTCGTATAGTGCTGCTGGGTGCTCATGTACTCTGGAGTGAGCTTTTGCAGGGTACGGCGATATTTTTTATATTTTAAGAGTGTAAAGTAGTAGTATTGAATCGAGCCACCCATTACTGGGTTAATAGATCGATTAAAATTCTGATTGATCAGTTCGTTTTGTTAATGTTTCTTATGATTGGTGGATTTTTGTTTTTCTTGTTTGTACCAACTCCGTAAGTTCAGTCTATTTCGTTCTGGTTTAAATGAATGCGAGAAACAAATCGTTTTTGTCCGACAGGTATAATCGGAGAGCGGTCTCTTATGGTACGGAACATTGTTGGATTCCGAGGGAGAAATGAATTAGTTTAAGCTATTTTTTGTATGTGTTTTTGACCTCATCGGATGCAGCGTGAGAGTTGTCGTAGTCAGGTAACTCTGCGCAAGTTTTCCTCTAATTATTTTCAGAGTAGTTTGGGAAAGCGAATCCACTCTTTCGTTTGTTCTTGTGGTTGTAAAAGAGGCGAGCAGACGCACCCGAACCGCGGATCTTCGGAAATCTTGTTGAATGAATAAAGAATATAAAATGGTGTGCTATAGTTTATGCCTGTCCCATAGCTTTTCTTATTTCGTTGTTTCCTGATGTTGGAGGTGGACTTGGGAGTTGGAATCCATAATGAACACGATTTGAAGATCTCCGATATCTTTACAAAGAGGATTCGGAGGATCTTCATTTCCATGATAAGAGATCTGTCGTAAGTCAACAACATTTTTCTAATGTCACATGATATTTCAATCTTATGTGACGAGAGGACTTGATTTGTATGCACTTGAACCACATCTTTAACAAAGGTGTAGTGCTATATTTACCATTTGTTTGTACTATCATTTGTACAATTTCTCTAATAGAGGTAGGATTCATCCACATATGTGGGTCTCATCTCTGTTATAATGAAACAATGAGGAAGCTTTCATGAAAAGAGTTTGGGCTAAGTTTATTTTAACCAAGAACCATGCTATAACTTTATTTAATGAAAAACTCTTAAATTTTAATAAAAATGACAAAAGAACTTAAATTTTAATGAAAAATACACAATTTAAAAATAAAAAAAAATTAAAAAGACCTGACTCGCAGGATCCGTGCGTCCATCACAGACACTATTTATGAAACTGAACGGTATTGCACTATTTGTTGGTCTAGTTTCATAAATAGTGCCTAGTTATCGGGTTTGGTTTCATAAATAGTGTATAGTAGTTAGTACAGTTTCATAAATAATACCTAGTTATTTTTCCACTATCATAAATAGTGCCTAGTTCTTGGTTATGTTTTATAAATATTGTCTAGTTCTTGATCCAGTTTCATAAATAGTTTCTATCTATTGGTTTAGTTTTAGATATAGTGCATAATTGTTGGTTTCGTTTCATAAATAATGTCTACTTATTGGTCTAGTTTCATAAATAATGTCTACTTATTGGTCCAATTTCATAAATAGTGTTTGCTTATTGGTCCAGTTTCATAAATAATGTCTACTTATTGGTCATATTTTATAAATAGTGTTTAATTCTTGGTTCAGTTTCATAAGGTTTGAAACATATAACCTTTTTGGTCTTGTAAAAGCACCTATTGTACCGAAAACGATAAACCCAGAAGTGATTGTTCAGATTAAAACCTTGAGAAGATTATGTTCTCAGTAATTATATTTAAAAAACTGTTTTCAATTACCCAATTAAAATTCCCTCACATTTTTTACATACTTACAATAATTAAATGTAGCTCTCCATCCAATTTCTTTAGCTTGGGTGTCATTTTGGAGAAATTTTTCCTTGTACTCGTAACACAAGTGGTGCACCACGTATTCTCATGTAAGTGGTGGGGAATTTTATTTTTTATATTGTTAAATTTTTAACACAAGAATCTCACTACTTGTATAGAGAAATGTGGTGTACCACCTCATGTTCCGGGTACATTGAAAAATCTCTTATTATCTTGATTACTATTGGAAAACAACCACAAAAATAAAAATAAAACTGGGAAATATAATTCAATTTGAACTTTGTTTCTTATTCTAAAAAAATAAAATAAAATAAAAAAATCTCTTAATGATAACTGACAACAGGAGGAAAAAGAGTGGGAGAGGGTATGCGCCCAACTTTTATGTTTTTTATTTATTATTTTGTTCTTATCATTAAATAAATAGTAGATGCTTTTTTTACTAAAATGCAAAGATTTGAAACTATTTTCATTAGTTTTTTCATAAAGAATAATACAAATATATAGTTAAAATAAAATTTTTGTGTACTCAAAAAAAAAAAACATTTTTGTTAACAAAGTCTTCTTTACGTTCATTGACTTTTTTTTTTTTTTTTTTTGGCCAAGCAATATATTTTTTTGTTAAATTAAATGTTAGATTACTCACTAACGGAGTTTGAATCCACTCTTTCATGCAAAGACTCAACACATTTTCACCATTATGATAAAAGATCACTTGCCGTCCAATAACTATTGACTAGTATGGAAGCAGCAGGCAACATATACAATATTGAGCCCGACGTTACATGTTATTTCCACATGAACCTTCCCCAAAACAGACCGACCTACAGAAAGAGGGGTAGAGGAGATGCCCCCAACACGTTACAACATGTTATGCCAACAACTCCTCATGCACCTTAATTTAATATTTGGCATGTTTGAATAATGTACTTTAATAAACTATATATATATATATATACAGATTGCTTAAGGGAAGGGATCCCCATTTTTTGAAAAAAATGGGGATTAGGTGTGGGGCCCACTCCACATCGAATTTCAACGATCCGAACCGTCTATTTTGTTAGTCTCGATTCATAGATCATCCTTGCAAAATATTAGCTAAATCGGAAATGTTTAAGACATCTAATTGAGTTCAAGGAAATGAACGAATACTTTGTTATATAAGAAAAAATGAAATTTGATCTTGATAATTAAATAGGCAAACGGTTTCGGATTGAATTGAATTTTTGCAAGGATGATCTATGAATCGAGACTAACAAAATAGACTGTTCGGATCGTTGAAATTCGATGTGGAGTGGACCCCACACCTAATCCCCATTTTTTTCAAAAAATGGGGATCCCTTCCCTTAAGCAATTTGTATATATATATATATATATATATATACACACACACATATACATACTAGATTTGGACACACATATATGGCCAATGAGGTAATCAACAAAATTTGGACACACATATATGGACAAATGTTAGCCAGAAGCTCAAGAGAAACTTACCTACAATGGTGATGCTATTGTATCGCTATTTCAAGCCACTCATGCATTGTAATGTGTTTTCCTTTCTCGTGTGACAAGTGCATGATTGACGTAAAAAACCGGTACAGTGACATCTTCATATAAGTAGAATGAGGATCCTCTCCGGACCCTCTTTGTGAGGATCCTTTAATCGTATTCATTCATTGTAAATCATGCGATTAGTTTTTGTCAAGTATTATTTGTATTCAATTTTAAAGAAAAATTTTAAAATAAATTCTGACCGCACGATGTATGATGAATGAACATAACTAGAGAATTTCCGGGATTCTCACAAAGAGAATCCGGAGAGAATCCTCACAAAAAGGATCCGAACCCATATCTACTGCAGCGTTAGTCTTTTGATAAATCTGTTGAAGACTAATCTTGCAGTAGATTAGGCTGCAAGTTTGGAATATTGAGGATTCAGGGAAACTTATCATATGCTTCCTTGTTTTTATGAAATTAATTTTGGGAGTCAAATATGATACTTCAGCGCTAGTAATTTATGTTGAACTAGACTCATTCAACCATCCAACATACAGCCCATCAATATATACTTAATGAGGTTTTCTTGAAATGTCTGTCCGTTTAAAAAGAATAAACGTCTTGCAGAGAGAACCTCTCATACATTTAATGGGTAATCTTTGTCGGCACTGCAGGGATTAATAAGCAAAGATAAACTAGACTCTTTCAACTATCCAACATACAGCCCATCAATGGAGGAGCTGAGGGAGCTAATACACGAAAATGGGTGTTTTGAAATTGCGAGACTGGAAGAGCAACCTCGGAGGCCTATCCCTTTGAAGAAAACCGCAGAAATTAGAGCTGGCATGGAGAGTCTCCTCACAAAGCACTTCGGCACTGATATTATGGAGCCGCTTTTCGTTCGCTACTCGAAGAAAATCGAAGCACGCCCACGTCCGTTCCTCACTACTGCCGACGACGGCGTCGCTGGTGGATTATTTGTCCTTCTCAAGCGCAAACACTGATGATAATACTATAATGTATGTGCTTCATCGTACTGAAAAGATACGACTTAGTACTAGTTTGGTATTGCTGTACCTTTTAAAAAAAGTATTTACGTTTTGCTGTGAGAATATTCAGTTGTAAAATAAAGTTGTTGAGTGTTTGGTAAACTTTCTTTGTAAAAGTCCTTTTAACAAAAAAAGAAAAAGTTTTTGAGTGTTTGGTAAATTTTTATATAAAACTGCTGTGAATATGTTAAATGACTAAAAAGAATATGATATTGAATGTGAAAAAAAATTGTCAAAGAGAATAATGCAAGGTCAAAGATTATATAATCTTGTAAAATATACAGAGGTACACTTGTCATTTCAAAATTTCATTAAATGCGTTGTTCACTATGATTTGGAAAAAACACACTTTTAGAAGCATGGTTTTACTGTTATTGAAGCAATTTAAAAGAAAAACACTTTTTTTTGTTTGTTTTACCAAACACATTTGATGTTTCAAATTTTTTAAAATGGTGTTGTTTTTAGAAGCATAACAATTTCAAACTAGCCCTTAAAGCAGAGTTCTTTATATTAATACTAATATACCTTTTTTTCATTTTGCTCTAGTTTTATTTTCTTACCGAACTCGGAATCTTAGGTGCTAAGAATAATGTTCTAAATTTTCTTATGTTGGCCAGAGTCGGACTTGGGAAATGGCATCATTAATTAACAAAGTCTTGCTACCATCCATTGACTATTAATCACCGTTTACTCAATTTACATATTGTATTTTCGTCGTATAAATTTTCATGCTTGAGGGTGAATTGCTGTAACCTATTTCGACTAAAAATGAGTCAAACTATATACTTACATATAAAATCTCACGACACAATGGAGCTGTACCTTGTTCTGGCTCACATAGACCCGATCTGCAAATCCCCAACAACCATCTATGTATCGCAAAATTCAGGGATCAATTAATATCAACCGTTTATCATAAACCATGCGGCCACAATTATTTTCTTTTTTATATTTTTCACATAAAACTGAAAG